GCTTCCCTTCCCTGTCCCCCATCCTCCCCTACACATACACCAATCTCTGCTCTTGAGGAGCTCTCAGTCTAATGGGGGAGACAACATATATACAACTATGTGCAAACAAGCTATATACAGGATAATTAGGAAATAATCAATAGGAGGAAGGCATTAGAATTAAGAAAGAATGGGAGAGGCTTCCGATAAAAAGGTGGGATTTTATCTGGAACTTGAAGGAAGCCAGGAGGTAGGGATGAAGAAGGAGAACATTCCAGGCATGGGGAAAATGCCCAGAATCAAGAGATGGAGTGTCATATTCAAGGAACAGCAAGGAACAGCAAGAAGGTCATTGGTCAAAGAACAGCAAGGAGGTTACTAGATTGAAGAGGGTATTGGAGATGGATGGGTATAAAGTATAAGAAGACTAAAAAGGTGTGATGGGGCTAGGGTCATGAAGGGCTTTGAATACTAAAAATAGGATTTTATATTTGATCCTGGAGGTGATAGGAAACTGTTGTAATTAATGGAGTTGGGATGGCTGTCCATTATTAAAATGATCAGAAATGGATCTATTCTAGCTTTCCAAAGTAATTTCAGACTTTATGGTTTATTTTTACTTTCAAATGGTTGTATAGTTTTCAGGTACAATCTAAAAGGGACTTAAAATTGACAAAGTAGAAAAATAGGTATTTGTCATCATTAATGAGAGTTATCATGACAAGGTTTATTTAAGCCTCTGTTCAAGAAGACAGGGAAAATTAAAAAAAAAGTTTTAAAAAGATCTCCATTCTACATCATTAAAATTTTTGTTTAAAAAGTTAACTTTTGAAAAGGGTAAACCTCAATTATCTAAATGATCTTCTTATGTGAAATAGCATCTAACCTGATGATTTGAATTAAATGAGGTATTAGTATGTATAATATTAGTGTATATAGTATAATAATAGTACATATTATATAATTGAATAAATATTTCCCTTGTGGGTAGACTGCTGTCAAAATATGGGTTAACATCTTATTATTTCTGACTTCATCTGAAAACTTGAGATATGTGGGGAGAATGAATATACATTTTTTAAATTATACCTTATTTCCCACAATAATTTGAGGTAATACATGAGTATCCATAAATTGCACAGGAACTGTTGCTCCACAAAATCTATGGTTAGTTCCTCTGACAGTAAAATAGTTGTTTTCTACATGTTATCTTCATTAAATTTTGCCCAAACCAATAAGTAGAGGGTGAGAGGTAATACGGTGTATTGGAAAGAAGATACGGCATCGGAGCATCTGGTTTTGAATATTCTGCTTGCCAATTACTAGCTGTGGGATTGGGTAGTCACATCATTTCTGGGCCTCAGTTTCTATAAAATAAAAAATGACCCCTAAGGTCCCTTCCAGCTCTAAATCTCTGACCCAGCAATGTAGGATGATTTAACTTCATTCACAATGGAAAGGCTGAAAGTGAATTTAAAAGATAAAAGCAAATGAGAATAGGAGAATACTTAGAATGTCTGTCACTGAATGTATGTAGTTACTGAACAAATTTGAGAAGCCCTAGAGCAGGAATTTTTAACCTTTTTTTGTGTCAAGGTCCTCTGGCCATCTGGTGAAGTCTGTGGTCCTTTTCTCAGAATCACATTTTTAAATGTATAAATACATAGACTTTAAGTACATAATACATAGGATTGCAAAGAAGCCAATTATATTGAGATATAGTTATTAAAATATTAAAAAAGAACAAATTCATAGACTCCTTCAAACCTGGTTTCATGGACTTCAGGTTAAGAACCCCTGCCCTAGAGTTTGGAAGACAATGAACTCAAGGTTGATGCAATCTGGCTAGATTAGGTTCCTTCCTCCAGAAGGAGGAGGATGCCATGTGATCTGAATCAAAAAGGATGCATGCGCCCATTTCTATAACTCTAGATAGTAAAGGATGTAACCAGCCCTCTTTTTGTCCTTATTTGGTTTACTCAAGATCGGTGTATTTGAAAGCACTTGAACTAGACTTCTAGATGGATACATTTTTATGAAAGGCTTTGTTCTCCTGAGTATCAAAGAATGACTGAAAGCTCTAAACACTCAAGACCACTGGGAATCAGCCCATAGCTAGGAATTATAAAAGACATGGTCTAAGTCCAGGACACTAAAGCCTATTCAATTTTTTTTTTTTTGCCTGAGAAAGAACCTCAAATCTTTATTCCATGAGTACTTGCCTTTGTTTTACACATGGTCTTAAAGCATTGTTTATTTGGTTTCTCTTACCCACAGCAGATCAAAAGTGGCAGGTTAGAATGGGGGTGAGTTCTGGACTCATACATACTGAGAGCTGTGAGAAAAAAATAACCAAAGGAGAAAGAAAAGCAGCCACCGTAACTCAAAAAGTATAGCAAGATCTGCCTGATTTATGTAGACGCAAAGCACCCTGTGTGACTAAAGAGCCCTGGGGACATTACTGTATTACAATGCAGTGTAACAACTGATGGTCATAATGGTGATGCTATGTCATCAAGACAATATTGAATGATGTGTAATAATTTCAGAAAGACTTTCTCTGAAATTTTTTAAATAAAAAAACCCTTTGGCACTTAAAAGAGACAAACTACATTTCCCCAGAAAATTTGCTTACACAACAGACCTCTTCACTGGGGATGCTAGATATATGATGTGATAATTTAGAGTCTCTCCTATGGTAAGCTAGTTGAGGGCAGGAACTGTGTGGTTTTTCCATCTTAGTACCTGTGATCCCTTGGTGTCTTTTACACTGCTTTGCTTATAAAAGACACTAAGTAGAGTTCTTCTTCTTCTTCTTCTTCTTCTTCTTCTTCTTCTTCTTCTTCTTCTTCTTCTTCTTCT